TTTGTGGCTGCCCACAAGTGCACCTTTTATACCACGTCTGTCAAATGGTGTGGGAAGGTATACTCGAAAGGCGTGATCGAACATGACCGGGACCGTCTGAGCGGGTTGGCTAACCTACGTCGTCCTGAGACCGCAGGAGAGCTAATGCAATTTTTGCAGGCTGTCAACTGGCTGCGCACTTCTCTGCCTCGGATGTCGGAGATAGTGGCACCTTTGCGGGAGTTCCTGGAGCTTCACATGGCCGGAAACCCGAATAGAACCAAGCGTGTGGCATCAAACCGAGCGATCGCTCCTGACGCGTGGACACCCGCGATGGTGGAGTCGTGGGAGCGAGCGCAGGACATGGTCGCCAATGCGGTCACATTGTATCATCCGGTGGCAGGGAAAGCGGTTTTGATGTTCCCTGATGCTTCCGACGAACATTGGGGAAGCTTCGTGACTCAGGTGCCACAATCGGAGGTGGACAACAACGTTCCCGTGGAAGACATGAGCCACGAACCGTTGGGTTTCCTGAGTGGTACATTTCGTGGGTCTCAACTGCGGTGGGCTACCGTAGACAAGGAAGGATTCGCAATCATCAGCACGTTCCGGAGGTTGGAATATTTGCTGTGGGGTGGTGTGCATATTCACACCGATCATCGTAACTTGGCATACATATTCGACCCGGAAGCGTGCATCTCAACGGTGCCGAAGACCACGGCGCAGCGTCTAGAGAATTGGAAGGCGGTCCTTGGCCAGTACGACTACACGATTCAGCACATCTCAGGTGAACGCAACTGCTGGGGGGATTTGTTGTCGCGTTGGGTGAATGTACCCGCCGTGAGTAATCGATCCGCGGCGGTCTTCATGCCGAGTACGCCCGACTGTAACCTACCCTCCAAGAACGCTATACGCGAAGTTCAACAGACAGTGCGCGCATCTGTCGGGGATACCAATGCGTGTTTCACGGATACACTCGGTCGTGTTGCACCGGACGATGAAGGTTTATTCCGTGTCATGATTGACGGTCGCAAAGTTCTGTGGATTCCCGATACCGCGCGTGATATGCAGCTACGACTCATGTTGTGTGCGCACATGAAAGAAGCCGGCCACCGCGGTGTTACAGCAACGATGCACCGCTTGCGGGAATACTGCTGCTGGTCTACAATGGACCGCGATGTGAAGGAGTTCGTGCAACAATGCCTGCATTGTATGGATTCTAAATCTGGTGAGATAGTGCCGCGTCCTTTTGGAGAGACGGTTCATGGCAAGCGACCTGGAGAAGTATTACACTTCGACTACCTTCATGTAGGCAAGAGCGGACCGCTCGGCGCGGATGGGCTGGACGAATCTGATGGATATGTATATTTGTTGGTGATGATGGACGATCTTAGCAACTTCGCGTGGATGGAGCCGACTGGTACGTGCACGGCGCGGTTAACGGCGCAACACCTCCTGAATTGGTGTAAAACGCTGGGTGTGCCTGAAGTTTGGGTAAGCGACACCGCCACTCATTTCAAAAACAGCGTAATGGACACCTTGGAGAAAGCGTTGGGTGTTGAGCGACGCTTTACCGTGGCTAACTCGCCCTGGTCGAATGGAACGTGCGAACGTATGATGCGCGAGATAGTACGCACGATGAAAGCCGTTTTGCAGGAACGACGGCGAAATGTGCGGGACTGGGTGGATCTGGTGCCGGCAGTTCAATGGGCGCTAAACACCGCGTATCGTGAGCGGTATGCATCAACACCTTATCATGTCATGTTCGGCCGCGCTCCTCGCACGAGTTTTTCCACCCTGGCGTCGTCGTCTGGGGAAGCCTGGAACATCGACACGCTTGATGCGACCAAGTTGAAACAACAAGTCCAAAATGTGATCCAGACTCAAGCGGTTCTGCACAAACAAGTTCAACAGAAGGTGGATCACAATCGTGCCAGGCAACGTGCGGCGGCAAGTCGCGGTGATTTACCAGCATTTACGGTGGGAGACTATGTGATGGTGGCACGTGTCCGTCGCAGCGGAATCACGCCCAAATTGTCCTCTACTTGGACTGGTCCTTGGCGCGTGGTATCGGCCGCTAAAAAGCACGTTTACGGTGTTCAGAACATCGTTAATGGGCAGGTCCGCGATGTCCATGTGGCTCGTCTGCGGTTCTACGCCGATTCGGAACTGAACGTCACATCCGATCTCAAAGACGTGTTCCAACACTCTTTCGGGCAAGGCGAACATGAAATGGAATCTATTCTCAACATTGGACCAGCTCATGATGGATCGGGATATCTTGTTCGTGTGCGGTGGGCTGGGTTCGAGGAGGACGAAGACACTTGGCAACCACTTTCGGATATTTACCAGGATGCGCCGCAGTTTTTGAAGCAAGAGTTGCGCAAGATGAAGCTATCCAAGGAAGTCAAGGACAACATAAAAAAGGAATATGGTATCGTTTTTTAACGGCCAAATGAGTTGAAGTTGCGTGGAAAAGGGCGAGGAAATCTTACTACCGCAAGATAGCATTGTTCATTTATATGTTTGTCTTGGTTTTTGTAGTTGTTTCTGAAGACGCCATCACACAGTATAATGATGAAATAATTAGTAACACGAAATCAGGCGAATATGGTGTTTAGTGTAAACAAACGCGTTAGGATTGAATAAAATTTTATCATGTGATTATGTGGTTTCGCATCATTTAGTATGTGCCTACCATTGTTTTGTCAAGCACATAGTGTCTACGATTGGAATGTAGTATGCGCTTTGGGGGCATTGTGGACATTGGCCGTGGTAGTCACAGTGTAGGAAGGTTCTACGGAGATCTTG